ATATATAAAATAGATAGCATTCGTGTGTGTCCGGCGGGACGGATTTGTTGGTTTGATAATTCCTTCTTGTTCTCTCTCTCTCTCTGTCTCTCCCTCTCTCTTTTTATCTCTCTCTTTCTTGCACCCTCCAATCTACATATTTTAGCCATCTGGACAATATCATTTTAATATAGGTCAGAGTTACAATGTCTGTTAACTGTTGCCTATTTAGAAAATAGGTTATGGCGTAGTTGTGGTGTAGAGCATTACGACTGCTAACCCTAAAAGAGCAAGTATGAATTCAGGGTTCGTTTCCGTAGAACGACCCTGATTCCGCCCATTTCTCATGGTTACCTGGCTAAGATTAGAGAAAGTTAAGCCGGCTTAGAATAGTACTGACCACACGATGTCAGAAACAGGTGAATTCCACTCCATCTGTTCCGTGGATCGTCAAATTTAGAAAATCCACACTTGATTTCAACAAGTTACATTTTAACTAACGTTTTTAATTTTAAATACTAAGTATTTTACATGTGGAACTTGTCTCATTTTCAAATGCAATACGCAGGGTAGTAGTACCTAATTAATAGTACTTTTTTTCTTCCCTTGATTCCAAATGAGAATGGTTTATTGTTATATTAATTTATCTCAGTCACCATACCAACACTTTTCTTTGCACAGAGGGGACGACATAGAAACAGCAAAAAGAACTCAAAATTTTACATTCGACGTGTTTCAAACTGACCCACGGCTATCACGTGACTTCCCTATGACACCTGGTCAGTTGTGTTACAAAAAACTAGAATCTGTAGGACAAGGAGAGACGCTCACACAGAACTGCACTACACCCATCTTGGGGAGATTCGTCAGATTTATACGGTAATTTTAGATAACTAAAGACAAGAACGATCGACGGTGATAGACACATGTTTCTGTCCCTCTCTGAACTTTAGCAGAAAATAGATATACGTTTAATGGTGTATAGATAAAAGCATGTTCCCAAAACAAAACACGTGTATTTAACTTATTGTTCAAGAAGAATTACCATGGTATATTGATTAGTTATTTTTGTCCGTATTGGTATTTCTAAAATAAAATTTTAAACCAATTTATTTTTTTATAACAATCTCCGTACGGAATCTGGAGAAAAAATAATCATTTCTAATTTACTCAGATGAAAATGTTTAGTCAAAGGTTTAATATTTTCACTTGTATTAATTTACCTGAAATATTGAAAATTCGCATTTATTTGCTGAAACAATAGATTTTATTATTCAGATTCTTAAATTGGCAGATGTTATAGGTGGTATGTCCTATATACTATAACGAATGTATTAAACCCTAATATCATGAGAATATAGTACACTATTTCCAAAAGACGATTGCACTAAAATATAAATATTAGATTAAACATAAAAATACAGTAAATATAATGTGTTTTATGGAATGTTAAAAATGTAAATGTGCGCAACAAAAGTAATTATGATAATTAATTTTAAATACTTGCGTTTATAATAACGCTATTATCACATCTAAATGTCTCGTATATTAGTATGTAAGAGTAAGGGAGTGGTATTTCCTGTTTAATCGGACCGCAGGACTTTTTAAATTAACTTTTTTCAGTACTTAATTTACTTTAAAAATTAAAATAGAGTAAAAAAAAAATAGAGTAAAAATAAAGCGGGAGTGTGGTATATTATTAAACAGCCTAATTGTGAGGGGAGTGCCACTTCCACTGCAATCGGACAATAGAAACGTTTTTATTTCTTGGTGTGTTACTTAATCTGTAGAATAGAATTCGCGTAGAAAAATCAATTGCGTACCAAATGAACTCAAAATGCGTTAGCGCAAAATTATTAGTTTATAAATCAAACATTAACTACTTTTGTGAGAAATCATAAATAGCCTAAAGTAATAGGCCTACTTCTGGTAATCAGAAATCACTCATCATTTTACAACAACCAGTGAATGAGATCATATACCTATGTAGGAAATTTCGTCCAGCTAACTGAAACGATACTCAGGTGATCTTTATTTAGAATCCAGGAATAGCGTAAACTTTCTCTTCCGCTTATCGGAGGTCACTCAACATTTAAAGTGATCCAAATATAAGACCTTATACTTATTTTTTAAAGGTATCTTGTTCCCACAAAAAAAAAGAGTAAAGTACCACTAACGTTTACCGGATATCGTTCAAAAATAGAAACATACGCACACAATGATATACTTATGTGAAAGTTCGGCAGTTTTTGAAAGTAGAGTATTTAGCCTACCAATTATACTTATATTTACTAAAAATTGACAGAAAACTACAAATAAAGTATAATACTTATGTTTGACATTTCGTAAACATAAATGAAACGAAACCCAAGTTATCATGTTTACAGACACACACGATGATAGTAAATCCTTTATAATTCCGAATAAAGTAAAAAAAAAAAACATACCTTCGTATATTAAAAAAAATATTAAACTGTCTGTTATGAAGTTATCATAAATGGTGGTGTAGTTGACTGCAGTGAGTTGAAATAGTCGGGTGATAATTTAGGAAAGACATGTTATAGCCCTTTACGATCTACAATAAACTGGGAAATTAATTCTTAGCTATTCAGAATTAAATTACTAAAGGGAAGTACCATCAAACACACTAAGGACTTTTCCCATTAAAGCTATTATGAACTATCTAACTGTATTGTACAATATAATAGTATGTACATAACTACAATACAAATTAAAACGATATTTAATCCCTCTTCCATACAATAAGCTTATCCCAGTTATAACAGTGACCAAAGGAAAATCAAAGACGTTCAGTAAGAAAAAGAACGAGTACAAATACACTGGTAGTCAACAGCTGAAAAATATTTAACGAATGCCAATTTTTTATGATGAAACCTTAGCGTTATTAAGTAGTTCTCACGTTGCAAATCTAAAGTACATTAATTGCTTATTTAATTTTATAAATTTTATTCACAGATACACTCTCAACACTTTGAATATTTGTGAGATAAAAGTCTTGGCCAGCTCTAACATCTACATGGTTAACAATTTTTTGGTAAAAGATAAAAATTTCCTGCAAGAACCCCCAATCTTTATAACCTACACCCCTAACCCCCTGACCTGCACCTCCCTGTGTGTACAACGTCGTGACAGTGAGACGTGTACAGCTGTCAACTGGGTTAGGACCACGACAGAATGTCAGCTGTTAAAAGTCAACTGGCGAAAACAATTAACTCAACTGTCTTGGAACTCCAGTGCCGTATTTTACATTGAGGCCTAGTTGAGCTAGGACATTGGCTGAATGCCCATAATCCGGACTCGTTTTTCTGTTGCATTCTTTCCTTAAAAATTACAATATTTCTTTAATAATTTGCAGTTACCTTCTACTACTTAGGTCTATTCACTATAAAGTTCTTGTTAATAGTATATTTAAAAAGGGTTTTAAAAAGATACCTTTTATCTCCAATAGCAGTGAATTCTAGATCAATAACTCATGTTAGACTTAGACATGACTGAATGGCTTGAACAAACGCCACTCTCACTAAATTATACATGGAACTTGTATAATGTTGCGTCTTACTACTAATCGATTACCAATGGTTTAGTGCGAACGGTTGTAAAGCAGGTATTGCTTCTCTGTTAAAACAATGTTCTTTATTTTACTTTATCATCTGCACTAGATGTCGTCGAATTTGTATTTGTCTTTTATACAAAGTGTAAATTGATTTTAGTGTTAAATTTCTAAAATTCCACACTTCCGAATGCTTTGTTAAAAAAAGTTTGATTAAACACTTTTCAGCAACGTTGTTCACTTACTTAAACTTGGTTGGTTGCCTATTGTTTCCACTCTGCAAATACTGTCCTCCCAGGTCTGATGGTATTATGTCATTGTCTTTTGTTAGTGATTGTAACGTCTATTGTTTGTATCACGGTCACGTCCCTTAAATGCTCAGTGTGTTTATTGTGATGTGTATCTGATGTGTAGGCCTTCTTGCGCGGCAGTTAACGAAAGGTAGAGTGAGAGACACGACGTGTCGTCTGAGCTGTCGGTATATAAGAATAAAGTACTAAGGTAAACTCTGACAACTGTTTTTGTTTAAGTAATGTAACAGAGGAGTAACCAATTCATGTTAGAGAAAGTAAAGCCGGCTGGGCTTGGTGCTAACCAATATAGATTTTTATATCAGCACGGGAACATACCTACAGGCTAAATTTTTTAAAAATTTGTCATTTTATAAAAAAAAAGACAACAAAAAAACAATGCATTAAAAATCAAACAATGTGATATAATTAAAAAAAAACAATTCAAGATATGGCATATTCAGCTTGTTTTGTGTTTTTTTAATGCGATTTTCATTATACAATTTCGTTTAAACACTGTGGATTCACCCCCTGAAGTAGCTAGGGCAAATAGACGATTACGACTCAAGATCTCATAGGACGATTCGATACCGATGCTACATTAATGGATCGTAATCCGAGGTCCCCAACTGTATATTTCAGTATTATATCTAAACTTTCGATCTTGTCTCTGTAACCTATACTAGGAGTTTGGTGAATACAATTATACATTATAATTAAATACTACAATTTGCATCTATTCAGAGACTTAAAATCATCTTGATAAAATGTTTTATATCAAAAAGCTATTTTGAAAGAAAAACAAAAGACTTTGTTAATTATAAATCGTTACTAATTTATTCGTAGTCAGGATGCGTCGTATCTTAATAATGTGTGCTTTCCTTGATACCTTCATTTAATGTCCACGATTATAAGTTACTAGAAATGCTTTGCAATTTTTTCTATGTGCTTCTTTTGCGGTAAGATTTAGTAAAATTAGATAATTTAACCCTATATTGCATACTGTAGCCATATGGCAACGTACCATTTTGAACACACACAAATGTTTTATTTTACAATTACACATTAACTATAGTGTTTCATCCATTTATTATAATCTCCCTTACAAAATAAATGCGAACTCTTTTTAGCAGAAACATTTTTTGTTCCATGTCCGATTACATTTTCGTGAGAATGTGGGCCAGCTGATCACCATGAAGGTTGGTGTTTTTTTATAATTTTTTTTTCAAAAGTACTTCTTACTTCACTATAAAAAAATATAATGATAATTCAAAACTATTCTAAATTGTGTATATTCTATCATATGTATCATGTAATATGCTTTACATACTTATTAAGATCGAAAATGGTTTGTTGCCATATGGCATCATATTGCAACAGAGGTTACTGTCAGGCTCTGTAGCCAAATGGCAGCAATAAATCTATTTTTTGTTTTTCAAAGATTTTTCAATGTATTTAGTTATATTCAAAGAAGATAATAATGCTCCTATTACCAATTACTTCCTAAGTTCTTTTGTTAAGAGAATGTCACAGAAAGAAAATTTGTTTACTAAATTTATCCGTCTACTAATAATAGGCCTATTTACTAGTATTAGTATAGCTACTAAATAGATCTAACTATTTTAGCACATATATCACTAAAAAAATATACATAAACTGTTATTGGCAAATGCAATATATTATTTAGTCAAAAACATTACAGATTTAGAATAGTAGTAGTATTACTTATATAAACTTTACAATATATTTGCCTATCGGCTAATAAAATTTATAATATAATCCTAGTCTATAAGATGTAGTTTTTAATTTTTTAATTATTTTTTCAGAAGCTGCTAGTTACTGATACAAATGCATTCTAGAGAATTTTATTAGAGTAACATGAAAAGAAAAGTTAGAAGCATCACCAAACAGATAACCAGGAAACACTTCAGATACATTTCAAAATCATGGCGGTTAGTTACAAATAGATTTAGTAGCTCTGTAAACATAAAAAAATGTTTACAAGACAGTAATCAATGACACTATCTATTGATAATGTATTTATTGATTGGGCACACTGCATGTCAGGATATCTAGTCTGAATTGCCAATATAATTAATTATACCTTAGGGTTTATTTAGCGCAGAAATATTATTGACGCCTCGAGCATATTTGTTTGACTAATTATTGTTAGAAATGTTAACCTTTTCTTATAGGGAAACAAATGTTTGTGTACTTTTGACACAGTAAGTTTTATCCCAGTAGCCTACAGTTAAATGGTGGGTAACTTGATGTTTTTATTTGTGTTATTCAGGTGAAGAAATATGAAACACAGCACGAGTTCTCTCAGAAGAAACAGATTATGCCACACCAGAAATAAAGTGTCTGACACCACACCATTGTAGGACCAACAAATAAAATCTACAAGTTGTGGACAATTATGAGGATATAAAAGATACTAATATAATAATATAATTGGCTCTCTTGTTGTAAAGTGATGGTTGTATGGGAATTGTGTAAATAATTAAATTTTGAAATTCAGTTTTGTAAAAAAATAATTTTTAAAAGTGCGAGGAACATTTTGTTAGCCATCATAATATATGTTAGTGTTGCAAATATTTGTAAATATTCCAGCAGCTAGAATACATGGTTATTATCTGGTAGATATTTTAGTAATCACAATAATGTAAGGGGGTAAAAAGTGTATTGTACCATGCAGTACAACTATCACTGGAAATTTTATGTGCTTGTATAAGTTTTTTTTTTAAATAAATCTCTTAGGTACCAGAAACTTACTACAACAAGCAAGTTCAAGAAATACACACTTGTGTCAATTCCATTAGGAAAACTGCTATAGCAACTTATTTTAGCTACAATATTCTCATGTGATAAAAAATAAAAAAGTGTTTTACTAAGCTACTCATAATAATTTCCAAATTTACCTAAACAGATAAATAATGGTACTTATTGTTTTAGGTCCGAAATAAGGGTTAGGATTATAATGCAATTAAATAATGTGATCATTGATTTCAATACCAAGCATCCAACACAAGTTTTGGAAGTTTATTTCTTTCTTATGAGTTTCATATATAAATTAATACATGTTTATGTGTTTTAGTAGTATGTGAAAATTACCAATATGTGTTGAAATACGTACGTTATTGATATGTTTAATAAATATTTAGTTCGTACTGCCCTACAGCTTGTTTGTCTTTGTTTATACTGAAATTTGTTAGTTTGTTGCCTCCCATTAGTTACCTCCCCATAGTTTAAAATAATTTTAAACTAAATTATCTGTCCCTAGTAGCCGTCACTAAACCCGGAATGTAAACATTTAGAGTGAACCACCGCTCACCAGACCATGTGGGGGTTGGGGGTGGTAGTGAAAGAGAGGAAGAGAGGGGACTGCAAGGCGCGCTTGCAGTTTGTTTTCTAATGTCTCCCAGAAGAGAATTATATATATAGATTATTATTATTATTTCTTTTTTCGATAAGTAACTGCAACTCTGGTACATACACAATTTATAAAGATTCTTTTGTTGGATAGGTAACTCTCCAACTCTTAAAGGTAAGAAAGATTTTCTTTGTTATATATCTTTGATCGTAAAAAAAACTGATTCTAAATTAAAATGGTATATCATTTTATTATTATCAAATTGTATTCTGGGTAGATAATTCTGCACTTTTTGAAAATAGTCAGAATTTTCATTGTTATAAACCTTTGACCGTAGACAGGTATAAATGCAAAAAAAAAATTCTGACAAAGGTACATAACTCTGCAATCCTTAAAGATGAAAAGGATTTTCATTGTTACATACCTTTGACCGCAAACTAACTATTTTTTCTAATTTTCAATCTATAATTCTAAAATCTGTTTATGGGCCTAGTGAAGTAGAGCTTACCCCCTTCTGCGACCTGATATCTGAACAGGGCGCTACCTATCAGACGAATGAGGCGATTGCCTATGGCGCTATTAATACTGGGGCGCAAAAAAAAATGTATAAGCCAATATGGAAAAGTACCTATTAACTGCGAAGCGATCTATTTTGGTGTCAAGGGCGAACTATAAATAGTTAATCGCGTTGGTGAAAATGTGCCCCCCTTTCCTTATTTGGACATGAAGGTACCCTTTTTACCAGTCACTTTATCACACGCCCCCTGTAGCGACGGCACTGTTACAATATTGAGATTATTATTGTATATAATCAGTTTCTTCCTGGCAAGTCTTCGGTTTTTTTCAAAGCATAAAATAATTACAGGAGCGGAATTTACTTAGTCAAGCATTCATAATCTTTAATCAATCCCACTACACACATACTCTCAAACTCATTCAATACACTGCAGTCCATTCTGTTTTTTTGTCTCTGTGACATCAACACATGCTAAAAAATAAAATAATTCATGACCACCATGTACCTAAACGGTGTACAACATTGGTTAATTTAAAAACAACAATGTCGATCCTCGTCACAATTCTAAGATTGTGTTTTATACTAAACGTGTTGTCATTAAAATACAATAGTACTACCAAATAGCTAAGTCACTCGACTTCTAAAAATGTGGGTAGCATAGCCAATCTATACAATGAAGTAGACCTACACCTATGTAAACTAAATCAGAAGTATAAAAACGTCCAACAAGCTGTTACTATACCCCACGGATGAGTATTTCATATCAACTCCCAAAATCAACAACCATATACTCTGCACAAAAAAAAATAAAGTTGGACTGCATCATTGAACTATAAATCAACTATCTAGCGATGAAGAAACAGACAAAACCTCGTTGATCGGTCAAACATCAATCATATAAAACAAAACTAAAACATTAATACTAAGCTAATGGGTTCATTATCCAACCAAGAAAATAAAACCTCTTAGGATAGACTAGTTTAGCAGATTGTACCTTAAATACCATGATACAACTTAACCACAAACTAGCATATTAATTGTTAAATCAACTAATGGTGCTTGATGATGACTAACTAAAATATCAGTATAGAAATATAATATCTAACGGGGGACAATTTTGCATGACCCCAGGACAAAGTAAAAACAATCCCAGACGTGGAGTCTTCATAACAACTCCAGATCCCACACTCCATAGGCCACATCAGATTCACTGGTGATGATTTGTAGAACACATGTTGATAGAATCGGATAGTCACGTAGTAGATCTAGGACACTAGGTAGATTCCAACCTGGATTGATGGCGCAGATTGACGGCGACTTGTACTTCGAGAAACAATATAGTGTAGATCTTGTAGTGGTAGAACAGGGAGTCATCTCGTCCAATAATGTAGATATTGTAGAACGGGATAGAATAATGGGTAGGACAAGCGAATACGGAGCAAATGCAGAACATTGTCGTCTGCACAGTCGAAATCGAACACGAAGTCGAAGAAATTCCCATAGAAGCAGACTTTAACAGACATTCTTGATATGTCGAAGGTCAAGGACGTAGGGCGATGACGTCATAATAAATAGAGCTGAACTGTGTAACTCCTAAATCAAATCCATGCCGGCCTTTGAACACCTGCCAAGCACGAAACAAACTTAAAATTGGCTAAAATATCTGTAGTTCAAACCTTGATTGGAATCAATAGGCGATGAGAGACCCGATATAGGAGCTGGATAACGCACCTATCAAACAGAAGTCCATCTCTCTCAAACGATGACGAATCGAGCAGGCCACATCACGCGTCATTCAATGAAGATAGATCACAGTGTACTGCGACAGATGATAGGCAACCTAGCACGGCCAGTGTAGATGATGGCGTACTGCTACAGATGACAAGCGAATCCATATGAAAACTGCGATAGAATATTAGGGTTCAGCAAACCCGCTGCATACACCAACTGTTATGATGTTAGTTACTCGGACAGGGTCGATGCTTGCATGAATACGTACATATACAACGACGATCCAATAGAGAGCACAGAACGGTGTTGATATATTTCCATATTTTATTATATACAATACACACGGCTACAAGGACAACAGACACTACGAAGACTTCCATACCCTAACGCGACAATAACAATACTTAGATTGACTGACACTATTTTCCTTAACAACCAAACATACTTTCCTGCGTCACATCCTTACTTGCTTTGTCACGCATTTAGAATCTTTTATTAATTCCATTACATACATACTCTCAACCCATCAATATATTGATTAAACAAATTCAATCACTAACATACTCTCAAACTCATTCACTACAAGATCCATTTAAAACACTTAGGTACTTTTTAGCGCAATTTCCATTCTGGACAATTGCGTTTAATAACCCGTCATTTCTGGATGTATGAATGTATGAATGAATGGATGGATGGATGGATGGATGGATGTGTGTCCGCAGCTTTAAGTCGTATCTCCTCCTCAACGAAGCAATATCGATGACTAGTTCCAAAAGCAATTATGTTAAGCAAGTTACGAGGATGAACATACGCCATAAAAATTACGGGTTTCTCGGCAACCAGACGACTTAGCGACTTGAAACATGTACCAATCGATTCCTGCCATAATTTAGAACAATATTGCCGAAGAAAGTTTTCAAAAATATCCTTTCGTTCGGTCACAAATGTTTTTTGAATTAATTAAAATTTGGACCGAATTAGTAAGCATATTTATCCAACTACACCACACGCGTCATCACGTTCAATAGCTGCGCCATCACGTTCAATGGCTGCGTCATCACATTCAGTAGGCGCGCAATGGTTTTTAGTCATGTAACTCTATTGTAAATAAAACATGTAAAATACTGAAAAAAAATTAATAAAAAACGTTTTAATAACTAACCAATGGTTTTACTAACCCTGCTCTTGATTTACGCTACGACAGAGCTATTTTTAGATAACATAAGGAAATTGCGCTTAAATGTCACTAGACTTTTTAGTTAACTTGTTGATACTTCCATTTCTTGCACACAAAAAAACAGCAATCAATGATATAGAAAAAGGTATGTGTATAAATTTAATACAGCTTTACCAAGTTAAATACAAATAAAGAAAAGAAAATAACATTATCAAAAATTGGTGACGGTGACGTGTACGTAGTACTGCCAATACTTCTTGCCCGCCATCGCATGGTAATCTTACGCCGATTGACTACAAACCGTTTTCTGTTTCACGTTTTAATTATCAAATTACAAAACGTTTTAATGTTAATGAATTTGAGCCTAGTATTACATCAAACATTGACAAAACACAAAACAATTACTCCACCGCTTCTCTATTACAGTCGATTCCACTACCTATTGGTCAGAACATAGATGTTTATCATCTAGAGCAAATTCGACATGCTCCCGCGATTTTCTGTTTGTCAGGTCAGTCAAAAGGGGGCGGGGTAGTGATTCGGATTACCACCTCTACATTATCTATATATATAATTCTCTTCTGGGAGCCGCTAGAAAACAAGCTGCAAACGCGCTTCCTAACTCCCCACCCCTACATGGTTTTAGTGAGCTGTGTTCACTCTAAATGTTTACAAGCAGAGCCAACGATTTTAAACGTAGGGGGGAGGGGGAAGGAAGGGGGGGGGGTTATGGTCCTTAACGAGCTACTTATAGTGTTTTAAAGAAATATTTTCAGTGGCAGCGTTGGTACTGTCGAATTCACAAATTATGAATTACTGAAAAGTAGAAAAAACAACAACTAAATAGCGGCGTATGTTATGCCGCGGGCCGGCTCGTATTTATTTGTTGTGAGTGCGAATCTGTGTGAACGTTGTAGTGAACGTAGACTAGTGTTTCCTGTCTTGGTAACCATAAAGGACGGAGTGACCTCTAGTGATTTTCTTTTCCCTACTAAGTAAACATCGAGAATGTAGCCAGTCTATCTGAGCCTTTTGTGCTGCCCCTGGTGTCTCTGAGGTATTTGTCTATTATTTATATTTTATATTGACTTTTAGTTCACATGTTGTAAGGCGTTATTTTAAATTTAGTTGAAGTTTATTTTGTGTTATTTTCTGAACCCGTGGCAGTGTTGTGGTTTCAGGCCACGTAGTTTAGACATTGACGTTGAGAAGATTGTTGCTTAACTTTATAAAATTGTCTTATTATTTTTATGCTTTGTTATTTTGTCATTGTGGGTTACTCACTATGTTAGAGTTAGTTTTGGCAGTTTTCTAGTTTAATTTTAGCATTGCTAGATTTAGCCTGCCTTAATTTCAAACCTCAAGTTTAGTTGCTTTAAATTAGTATGTTCATACATTCATTAAACCAAAATATTAATTGGTAACATTTTCGTTGGTCTTACTTCATTTAAGACGTTAGGCTGGTATAAGTTTACTCATAAAAGTGATTTTAGGTTTTAGAATTAGTGTTAGTAGTCGGGGTTAGTATTTTACTCGAGGTCTTAGCTAGTTTGGTAGTAGTTTGTATTAGCATTCCATTATTATTTTTTTTTTAAATATACCTTTTGTTTTTAGAATAATTAAGACAAAGGTTAGGTTTCTACCATTTCAGGATCAGCCACACTTGCTTGCACTAATCCAATTGCATAATGTGAGCCAACAGATTAAATTAGACCCCCTGTCAGGGAATACATAAAGCTATTCTTAGATTTTTACACCTAAACTTAGCACCTAGGCTCACCTTAGACGAAGGCCTCATTTGTATATCACACAAAGACTAAACAACTATAACCAAGACGTGTTTTTTATATTTTGAAGCTATATATCAATTATACAGACTAAAATCAATTTTATTAAATGAAAATTAATCCGCTTCCTATTAGACTCCAGGCCAAGACCTGTAACGTTTACCCCCCCCCCCCCCCCCCCTCCCTCACTTAGTTGCTTCAAATAGACCTAGATATAAACAAGCAGCTACACATTAATTTATTTTAATAAGTGTTTTTTCGGTACAAAATTTAAAAAAAAAAGACAGTTTTATTTAGCATTTATTTTAAACCATAATAATAACATAAGAACAGAAGCTACAGGCCTAATTGACTAAAATAAAATACATATTGATTTGATGACTTATTATTTAGCTATTCAAATACATACATTTCTCTTGATTTTAGACGATAAAAACACACGTAAAATAAAGTGGTTAAAAAGCAAGTCAAACATAGAAAAGACACTATATTTGAAAATAAATAAAATGGTTATAAAAGTAATACAATAAAATGTTAAACATATCTTAAATTTGAGCAGACTAAGACTCAAGACGTAAAAGCAATAATTTAATCACCAACATAAAATTATATTATGTACACGGAAAAATTACAATTAGGTCTACTAACTTCAGCTTAAGATTAAAAAAAAATTAAATTGTTTAAAATTATATGTTTTCTTCTAACTACATACACTTTTATTTTACAAATGAGAGTTTATAAGTGTAATCGAAATCGATAATTATAACATGTGGGTTGATACAAAACAAAATTAGTAATAAATATTGATAATAACAAGCTTTAAAAATTAATTTTCACCGGTTTGTCAGAAGTAAAGTTACTATTTTTATTATTTTCGGCGTGTTTGATATAAAGACTTTTTTTAAAACACGATTATAACAGGCCCAAAATTATTTAGAATAGATTTTTGGGTGATTTCTCGTCTCGAGATACTTTGGAACGAAATAGCTTACATTGCTGTATTAAGAAATTGTTTACACAATTCAATTGAGATTTAGTGATGATGTCTATATATATATATATATATATATATATATATATATATATATATCAGAGGCGTAGCGAGGGGTGGGGGCGGGGGTGCGGACCGCACCGGGTGACATCATTTACGGGGGGTGACACCAATGCAAAAAATAGCAAAATATATAGCGAAAAACTTGGGGGGGGGGGGTGCAAATCGAAAACGTGAGGAGCGGGTGCAAATCAAACGTTTGAGGGGGGGGGGGGATGCAAATCGACAATTTGAAAGTTTGTCCCCATGAAGGGTCGCTACGCCTCTGGGGGTGACACCATTGAGTGCCGCACCGGGTGACAGCCGACCTCGCTACGCCACTGATATATATATATATATATATATATATATATATATATATATATATATATATATATATATATATATATATATATATATATATATATATATATGAACTTACGGTGATAAACAATATAAAATATTACATTAATTTTACTAAAATCGATGGATATAAATGAACAATAAGATTATTTAGTTTGCATTTATATATCACCCGCACCGACGTACATCTGATTCATATAGCATTTATTAATGTACAATTGTAACATAATGAATGTATTTGTACTTGCGTAAATCTCTGTAAAAACTGTAACATGCTTTTGTTATTAAAAAATGTCTAGCTTATTGTAATTTTATAACTATCAACTTGGAAGATATTGTACTCATGTTGTTATAATTAATTGATTGCATATAAACCTATTTAAACTCCAACAGTCTGCCTTAACATTTGTTCAACTGACAATCTAAGTTATATTGTTTGGCTCATAGATCATCTAGGACCGTAAAGTCGATATTACGCAACGTAAGCCATTGTAGTCGCTATGTAACTAAATTGGTGACTCAAAATAAATTTCTAGTCACGTGGATCCCGGTCTTTGCCGCTGACATACCAATACTCGTATTACTGATGACATGAAATAGTGTAATAGATAGAAATCAAATAAGCAAACTATCCTAGCCTGTTTATCTTCACACACTAGTAATACACTCTCATGATGCATGCCGTTGTAAAAATAGATCTACTATTCCAACCGTCTTTTTTAAATTAAGGGTCCCTAATCATCAGCGCTTCTGTAGACTGTAATGATGAACGGTTCGTTTTTTAGCAGCCAGTCAGCTGTTGGTCTTTCTTTGGGTTCTCTGTGTAAAACTTTGTTTAAAAATTCTTGTAAGTAAACTGATGATGATGGGGGAAGCTGGTAATGTAGCGGTTCTTTAGTTGCAGTTCTAAAAATAGCCAGTGGGGTAGGGACTGAAGAGTTGGGTGGTTTTCCTGTCAACATTTCTATAACAGTGCAGCCGACACTCCTGTAAATGATATTTAACACATATTTTAGTAATTGTATTATTACGTTTTTGTCGACGAATAGAGTGTACGAGTTAGGAATTCATAGCTCGACTCCAATTGAAGTATCTGGGTCAACACAGCTCGTTAGAATATTTGACATGCTGCACCTTTCATCCGATAACCAAGAAACTTTGGGAAGTTGTTGAAATTATTCCGTGGGGAGGTTTCAGCTAAATAAATAATTTCAAACTCGCAGAGGTGGCGTTTTGGCAAGGCGAGATTCGATTATTCTCTATATATGGTATATACAAAATAAAAATCCATTGCGTATTTACACCGTTCATCCGATTGCCATGAAACTTTAGATAGTTGATTGGAATACAATAGTGAAGGGTTCTGCAAAACATTATTTTTTAATTTCACAAGGGCGGCGCCCCGCAAGGGTGCGATTTTTCTCTAAATACGGTATATAAAAAATAAAAGTCGGACGCGTTTCGACACCGTTCAGCAGCGTGCCAATAAACTTTGGGGATTAGGTGAGAATATTTCCAAGATGAATTCTGCAAAAGAAAAAAATATTTTGCACATGCGGCCTCCGGCAGGGTGCGATTTGGCGCCAGTGAACGCTATGGCGCCTACGTTATGGTCGTTGACTAAATTGAATTAGGCGCGCACGCCGGCGCCCCGGTATGGTACAATGTGGCGCCCCGTTTATCATGTGAGCACTATGGCACCTACGTTTTATTTTTAACCGTGAAATAGACCATGGATAAAATGGGGCATTACAGTCATCAATTCATGGTGAGTTGTAGCAGTGGTGTCCACTTGTATACAAAAGTAAACACAATGTTTGTTGTTTCTTTAAAAGTAACTTGTTATTTGATTTCAAAGACGAATACTAAGCCTTTAATTGAATATTATATCCAATAAACGTTGGAATAAGTAACATTGATTAATAATCTCCAACTGACCAAGAAAAGAATTATCCTCGCTGGTTCAATTATTCAAAATAGCAATTCGCACACAAATAATTTTTTTACAAGGTACATTTGTTGTAGAATATTTTGGTCTGGATATCAATTTAATATCACGTTGTGATGTACCTTTCTTTTACAAGAATATATTTATTCCTTTATAAATATATATATATTTATATATATATATATATATATATATATATTTTAATAGAATACATCCATTGTTTACCATATATCAGATCTGCTGGTGTAGTATTTTATAACGTTGCCCTCAGTAAAAACAACTTCTGGAGCCATGTATCTAACTGTTCCTTGTTCTGTGGGTAGTCCTTTCCCGTCGATAAATTCTGATATGCCAAAGTCAGTTAGCTTGATGTTCATATCATCTGCCATAAGGATATTGCACCCTATGGTAAATTAAAGTGTAAATTATTAACTAATGTTTATATCTGTCAACATAAATTATAATACATCTTACATTTAGTTAATATCATGTTTAACAAAAATGTTTTCTTACACATGAAAAACTTACTGATCATTTGCTGTAACATTATCTAAAGAAAAACAATTGCTACGTTATCATACTTGTAATAACTTGTCCAATATAAGTAATCCAGAAGTCTGTTTTTATTTCACTATGTATCTACTATACTCCTAATGCAATAGAGTAGATTTTTGTTAAGATTGTGTAGTCTAAAAATGATGTTATAGATTATAGAGTTTAGTACGCAAACGAAGGACATTGACACTGTAGGCTGCAGCAAATTTTACATAAAACTAATAGAATGGTGTCTACCTTTAATATCTCTGTGAAGAATGTTGTTGTTATGTAAATAATCAACCCCTTCCAGAATTTGAACAGTAAAGTGCCGAGTCACTTCTTCGCTTAAATTTCCTCTTCTGGAAATATACGCTTCCAGAGTGCCCTGAATTAAAGCATATTAACAATTTGAAACCAATCATGGTTTTATAAGCGGTTATTAATATTTTTAGAAAGGAAAATAACGCTTCTTCTTACGTTTTTCAAATATTCTAAGAATATATAGAATGCATCCTTTGTTTTTTGAAAACCGTGAAACTGAACAATTCTTTCATGTTTTGCTTTTAAAAGAAATTTTGTCTCCTTTATACATATCTCCTGGTGAAAAAAAATTGTTTCAAAATGTTATTAACACAAAATAATGAAACACCCTTATACTTTTATAACTTGCTATTTTATTATCATATCACTTAATGTAATTTTAAAACACGTGAGAGGTATTTTAAATTTTAAATATAGTATCTAATATTATATATATATATATATATATATATATATATAATATTAGATATTATATATATATATATATATATATAATATCTAATATTATATATATATATATATATAATATCTAATATTATATATATATATATATATATATATATATATATATATATATATATATATATATATATATATATATATATATATATAACCCAGACACCACATGTTTGTGTTTTATAAAAAGACCGATTTAGGCTAGCATGTGTAAAAATAAGTAGGACTAATTAATACCTTTAAATAAATGTATGTTTAACAATTTGGTAAGAAAGAACATTATTCTCTTCACAAATACGCAATTTAAAGCTCTACGCAAAGTGCAGTTACTCTCATGTACCGGAACAGACAAACACTTAAATATACAAACATATAAAAACTTGAATTTTAGTATAATATAGATTACCAGTGTTTCTGTTGAAGTCGGTTCTATTTTCTTTGCAACAAACTTTTCTTCATCTGGATTATCCATGTCAACTACCTTAAAGACTCTGCCGAAGGCACCCTTGCCTATCATTGTTGATCTTATTTCGAAATGTTTAGGTAAGTCGTCAGAAAATATACTATCTATTTATATATAAAAAATAATTGTGAATTAAAAAGTAATACACAACATGTGTCTTTTTTAGCAGTTCCTTCATTTCATAATCAAATGAAGTATTGTATGCAAACATATAGTGTAACAAAAGTGATTTAATAAGAATAATTTTATTTGTTAAAATAAATATAAAAAACGAAATATTTACTAACCTGTTTTTGATGGCAAAATTCCCGTCACCCTTCCAGTTCTCCAAAATACTGATTTTGCATTTTGCGAAAGGTCCTTATTATTACTGCACATTAGTCTATTTAAAATGTCATTGAAAGTGTCGTCAGTAATAATTTGCTCACTCGCATCTTTATTTATACTCAACCGCTTCAACAACTCCGTTGCTTGTTCTTGTTCTTGGGGGTCCTCGTGCGCCAGTATAGTTTTTAAACGTGGAATGATAGGAATAATCTGTTAGGAAAATCGATGGGTAGAATGTAAATAAACTGTTTGAATTAAAGTAACAGTTCGTCTGGTTGAATTAAAAGCTTAGTGTCCCATATACAACGGCGTGTGACCACTTCTTATACACTTAATACTATTGCATTGTCAAAGTATTTTAAAATGTAAATTACAGGTGAATAAATAAAAATGTGTAGGCCTATGTTAATCAAAAGCATGTGTACAGATATGATAATGGCAACGTGTCAGTGTAAGAGAAATGGTAAGGGTAATGATTTATGGCTAGAAAACAAAATTTGTGTTTTACGTTTACTGTCTACACATGGCAGTTATTATGTAAAATATTGGTTTTCTTATTTGCTCATTAAATTACCGTCAGACTAATTACAAGGTAATAACTCACAGGTTGTAATTGGGAGGAAAGTAAATTAAGCTAGTCTCAATGTCGCACGGCAATTATCTGGAAGGTAATTTAATTTGTGGAATTGTGTATTTGACAGTAAAACTATTATCCCGCCATCTGTCTTACGACTCTCTACATATTCACTCGCTCTTCTCCTAACTCCTAGGTCAACAGAAATGCAATGGCTTGATATAGTGACCACTGACCCAGCTGCTTGACCGTACAAGCGGGCTAGATCTATTGTGCGATCAAGCACTGAGTCTCACTCGCTCATTGGAATGGTCAAATACTAATGGACATAAACCAGTAACAAAGTAATTCGGTATTTTAACCATGACTAGTGCCCCTTTTTAGCACACCTGGGTTTAGGGGCGTACAAGACATTCTGCTACGATCAGTTACCTTTTTACTTTCTCGTATATACGAAGTATAGAGAAAGTATTGTAATCGTGCACAAAAATCAATTGAAATTGTAACAATTTTCACCGTATTACACCTCAGTCCTTCATCACATCCGAAGTATAGAGGACTTATTTTAATCGGGCAAAAATTATCAATCCAGATTTATCAAAATTAAGAGGTTTTATGCGTAATCCAGTCTGAAAAACTGGGCTTTGCAATTCTGTCCGTATGTCTGTGTGTGTGTGTGTGTGTCTGTGTGTCCGTGTGTAAACACGATAACTTGAGTACCGTTACAGCTAGGTTGATGAAATTTCATATATAAGTATTTTATCAAAATCGTAGATCCGTATCAACTTTTGAGCGCTTTCCGATAACCGGAAGTGGTACTTTTTCTACTTTGAATTTTTCAAAAGCCTATAACTTGAGTACTATTTCAGATAGATAAATGAAATTTTACATGTAAGTAAAAGATCTAATTTTCTACCTTGTGTTAAATTTTGTGTAATTTCCGTTGAATGGAAGTAGTAATTTACGCTACTTCCGATTTCTCAAAAAACTAATGTAAATTTTAAAAGTACTAATAATATTGCGCACTATTATGCGCTTTTTTATTTGGCGTTCACTTGGTGTGCAATTTATTTGTCTACGAGATTTTATTTTTAAAACTTTAAGTATTTAAAATGGATTAAAAATCATGTCTATAGCCCGAGTTCCCATCCCCTGTTATTTTATATAAGAATATTCGAGAAAGTTTAGGGGAGATCACTCCCGGTTTATTTAATGATAGCATAATGCAGTAAATATTTAATATGTCCACTATCTCGAGTTACAACAAAGTAGTTAAGCAATTAATATAATTATATGAATAAAATACATTTTGCATGTATTTTTAAATAAACAGACGACACTAAGCATCCAGGAGGTGTGGCAAAATGTTTAAAAAGAGAAAGGAATACTGAAAATATGTTATTTTTTTCATTGCAAAATGATGAAATAGTAAAACTCTACTTTGCGTCGAAAAATGGAACAGAGCGGTATGAAGTAATAGTGTAAGTTGATAACCCGAAAGTTTCATACAAAAACATATAATAGAGAGAGTCACATAAAATTCAATATTAGCCACTTAATGTGATACCTAGTGAATCACAATACATTATTAAGAAAGCTGGTGAACAAAGAAAACAAAAAAATAGCATCCACTTATAAGCTAAAGAGTGACTAAAATGGATTTGACATATTCAAAACTACTACGGAGATCATTAGTTATGTGACCTGTAATGTATAGTCGATGCAGTCCCGTCACTCTATCTTCTACTCTCTTCGGAGGTATAAGTTGTTTTTTTTTTGTGGATAGGCATTTGCCAATATACAATTATAATTACTCTGGTGTTTCGCCATTGTTCATCACGGAGAAACTACTAGGCACCATGTTCAGAGAAACATGTTTCGGCTAATATTTAATGGGAAGGTAATACGTATGTTGCAGCTCTGCAACTCTAGATATTTAAGGGAAAAAAATGTGATACCTCATCCCATTCCTCTTCAGTAATGGTATATCTTGACAATCCTTGAAGTAAGGCATACAGTTTAAATGTTTGATGTATTCTGTCTTCAGCTTCCGCGGCTTTAGTTATCCCATCTAGTAAAAACCGCTTTATTTCTCCTAGAGGCATAAGTTAAAAAAAAAGAAATCATTATTACACAACGATATTAATTCATTAGAAAATGAATTTCCTCCATAAAAAAAGATAATTTCGACACTCGGTTAATTCATACCAGCAAACGAGCTAAATTGAAAGTACCTAAGTATTATTTACTGTTGTGATTTCCTTTAAGCAATGCCTGTTACAATGATAGAGCAATATTGTTCAATGTGCTAACAAGGCAAGTTAATACTCAAAATCGATTGTAACTGTTAGCTTAGTTTAATAAAGACTTGTATATCACAATGACCTTTAATTTGAAACTCGAACCTAATAGAAAACATGGCAATGTTCTTTCTCAATATACTAAATACATTCAAATTTCTAAAAGTAAATATTTTATAACATATTTAATAGGCTATGTTTCTTTATTTCTCTTCCAATACAGAGAGATACTTTTTATTGAAATTCAAATAACTATCTTAATCTGTTACGTATCTGAGGATTAAGTGCCCAAGTCGTAATTATGAGGTAACGTGTCCCTGAATGGGTGTCTGGGGATTAAGTGACTGGACACCATGAAGTAGACATATACAGTAACATTTATATCTAAATTTGTATTTAATATTACATTTAAAGTTATGTAATTGTAGTGAAAAATAATTACCGCGGGTCTCACTTTGTAAATTACCGATTTGCAAAAGTAGCAGCTTTGAAACCAGTAATGGCCTTTGGTGTTTAAAGTTGAAGTTCAAAATCGCCTGAATCATACAACATTGTATTGTAGAAAACATGAAATCAACAACATTAAAAAAGTGTTTACATCAATACATTATAAATCAATATGACTGGGTTTAGATAAGAAATTAGGTATAGTAATTTAAAATCTTGTTAAACCAAAAACCTGTACTTTGGCGGGATTTAAAAATTTCATCTTTCCTGAATAAAATGGCATCATCTTAAAACAAGTTTATTAATTAGGATCTAGCGTGTGGTAACATGAGAAGAGTCTTATCCTGGTCTTATCCTTAGGTCACAAGCAGATAATGGTATACACATTATTATTATGCTTGTTTTTAGATAATGATCCGCATATTATACATTTTAATCATTTTTACTGAACAATTCATTGAATAATTTATTAATAACTTTCCAGAAAATATAACGAGAAGCTAAATAAAAAAAATACTGAACACAATAATTAATATGAAAAGTGTAACAGTCAAATGTAGATGAATGTATGTTTCGAATATGTGTCTTAAAAAGGCGATATAAATCTAAAATATAAGGTGGGTGTGCGCATGCGCTAAAGAAAGGAAGCAGAGAGGTAGAGAGCGGGAAGAAAATGAACCAATAAAATCATGAACATTTCCTGGACGTGGGTTGTTTAGTGTTATAAATCAGACTATAATATGTAATAACAAAGGGGGAGAGAGGAGAGAGGTTGGTATTTGTTTTTTGAGTTTGTGTCATGAAGCCAACAGCATAAAAAGGCCGTGATAAAAAGCTATGATGGCCGACAAAGATTTGTATTAAAAATTGGATAGCCCTACTGATACATTTGCAAGAAAATTTACTTCAAAATATTATGCTAATGGCTAGAAGACATTTGCAATCAAAACATCAGAATAACGTTTGCTCGAATAGATGATTTTCTTAATGTGGCGAAAACCACAAGATCAAACTGACGATTTGGGCGATTTTCCCATACCGGTAAAGTCTCGTCTTAGAGATGTCATTTGCATAAAACAGCCTACGGGTAAAAGTAATTTGAACCAGTATCCTCGGGAATTCGATGTATCAACATAAATCATAAATAATACTTAGACTAGCAAGACAAAAGCGTATTTCGCCTCGTTACATAACTCAGTATTGTATCAAAAAGCTTAAAACACAATAATGAAATAGTATGTCTTCAATGCATTTTAATAGGTTTCTGCTATGTCTATTCGAATATAAAAATATTAAATTTAGTGTAAGTACTAATTTGTCAATAGAAATATGTAACATCATAGCGTTATGGAAATAGGAGATCCATATGTAAAAAATATTTTATTCCTATAACAAATGTTAAACTTAATTAATAAAGCTATTCAGGGTGTATAAAATTATGTAAATAACCAACATGCCTTATAAAAAACAACTTAATTCGCTATTTCTACCGTAAATCATTACATGGAAAATCATTACATAAATATTACTTAGAAAAAAATATAACTATTGTACATCTTTAAAATAATCTAACTTACCTTTACTATATCGTTATTGTTAAAGTATTGAAAAGCGTCTTTCTTGATTGCGATGTTATATATAATAACCATCAAATTGTTTGTTACATAATGCGTTTTTGAACACTGAAAAAATTGGCATACTGTTATATTAAGGGAAAATAACAATTATGTAAATTACTCTGATTTTTGAACATTTAAATCGACTTCATTAAGAAACAGACAATTCAAAACAAGTACTTGTAATTTAAAACTTTTATTTTTTTGTATTTAAATTCTCAAAGGTATCGAATCACGAGTAAGCAGTATATATATATATATATATATATATATATATATATATATATATATATATATATATATATATATATATATATATATATATATATATACTATGGTGTGGTGTGGTGTATGTGCTATATGCGCATATATAAAAATAAAAAAAAACACTAGGTGGTATATTTTGAAAAATATGCTTATATTGCCACGAATTGATTGCAGAATTGAATTTTAATAAAGTTTTCCCCATTATAAAGAAGTGATTGCTTATAAAACATTTGAGAAGAAAAGACAAGTTAAATATAACTAATGGTGATGGTGTATATTTAGGAAAAGTGATGCCGGAAATTTATTACGAGTTTTTTGTAACTTTATAAATAAATTATATGCTTGATTATTACGCTTTTAAGTAAAGTTTGTTTGTGTAGGATAATTATTGCTAAGATTACGATAGAAAGACAGTCATCTTTCGTTTGTGAAACTTGAAGGTTTAATGTAGGCCAATAAGTTTGAAGGTGGTTTATTGCATTGACCGCGATGGAGTGGTTGTGTATGTGGGAAGAAGTTTATCTAGGTCGTTATGTAAAAATCAGCCCCCGTCTGTAGTTGTGGACGTTTATTATTGTATGATACTTGGGTCGTTAATAAATGACGACACGTTAATAGTGAGGGGGTTCGTAAGAATGGGTCAAACAATGTGACGTCACAATTTTGCATTTTAGAATAAAAAATGTTGGAAACGAAATTATATCCGTTTTTTCTCGTTCAAGAAAATATTAGTTTTTGTTTGCAAAATTGTAATATAAATTGTTTAATATATTCTATGTTGACCAAGCTCTGTCATTATTTTAGAAATAAATCGATGGTTAAAAAAATAGTTAATCTGCAATTTGTAGTTGGTGACGATGGGAAGGGGAGTGAGTAAGAATTTTTGTTTAAAAAAACGCGACATCATGTATTGATGATTGTTTTCTAAAAATGAAACAAGTGAACAAATAGAGATGCTTTATAAAATATTACTGCTTAATGTTATACTTCTGGAAAATTGTACCGGCTTACACTACATGTTAATATTAATAAAAGTTAGTGGTATTAATATCATACAATAGTAATAATTACCACCCAAAGTGTAGTTAAATATAAGAAGATTGTCATTTTGATTGTATTAGTTTTTTTTTTTTTAGGAAAGCTAATACTATTCAAAACGAGATACCACCTTTTATGGGTTTTACAAAGATTTCATTTAACAGCGAAAAAACTATTGCAGTAATTTAGTTTAAAAAAAAATAATATGTGTATTTTAATATATCTATAAATATGTTACCTCTATATCCTTGTATGTGATCAGATAGTCTGTTAGTACCTTGACAATATTACACTCAGCCAAGCGCTAAGAGAAAAAAAACTGATAAACTTTAACAATATTAAATGGAAGGAAAACAATTTAAATTTAAGCTGATATGTATATTAGTATTGCTAAATGAACTATTTTAAAATGTTAGGTTCAAAACACATATTTTCACAATTGCGTTAATTTAAATGCATTATTTGTAATAGCTAAACACATCCTATTCAATCGTGCAAATCTAAATAAAAAATTAGGTTAAAAAGACCATTTCATATAGAAGTTTATTGAAAGTATTGAGCTTAAGCTAACTGAAGAAAGCTGGAAGGGGTCCATGTGTCAAGTCCACACTCTACAACAGGTGAACGACGCAATGAAAAGGCGTTTCATATACAAACGTCCATCTGCTGTACAGCAGGTTTTCATTATACACTGTGTTTGTCAACGGCGTAGTTAAGGTTTTTTGGGCCCCTATGCAAAAATTATCAGTGGGGCCCCTTTGTTAGACGTTACGCTACAATAGAGTTTAACGAAGAAGTCAAGGTTTATTTACGATGTAGGGTTTTAATTAATATAAATATTCTGTACATTTTGTATTGTATACATATTTTTTGTTTATTTGTTTATATTATTATACAGGCCGACTACCCCATAGTTTGGTAACAATGTTACAGGCTTATAGTCTATTTGTTGTTTTTTTTTTTTAAAAGAAACCAAACACATTAGCGTCACAAGGCGGTAGGGGGGGGGCAGAGGTGCGGTCCGCATCTGTTGACAACATTTAGGCGCGACAGCATGACGAAGCATTGTAAAATTTGATGTCAAATCTATGTTGTATCCAGCTAAAATAAAAATAAAATATTTAAGAGAGGATTGACACTCCACCGAAAAAGCAACATTTGTTTGGGACGACACCTTTAGTAAACGCGTAGAGTAACCGCAGTGCCGGCACCAAGATATTTAGCATCCTAGGCAAAACGTATCAAACCGCCCCCTCTTCGCAATATATATATATATATATATATATATATATATATATATATATATATATATATATATATATATATATATATATATATATTATCATTGCAAAATAAATCCACCATGAGACAACAAACCACACAGAGGTAGGCTCAAACTCATTTCTCGCCTGAAATAATCGAGTTTTTAAACGTCTTAATCTTATATATGCTAGCCATAGTGTTTTTATTCTCTTCGCAACAGTATATAATGTGCTAATTGTTGCAATATCTCTTCAATAGAATATGATCACATATCCAAGATAGTGTAGTAGAATTCTACTTTGAAATTCTATTTACGATCTTGTTTGCCAACAATTAATTTAGTTTGAAAATCGAAATCTCTCCCTGGCTAACGAGATTTCTAATTCAAAGTGAGTGAAAACGAGACTTACAAGCCCTATTAAAACATTTCACGCGTTTTAATTCGACGCGTCATGGAGTAATCACTAAATCACTAAATCAACATAAAAATTATATAATAATAGGAAATGTTTAAAATTAAAAGATTTAGTTTAAATACAATAATCATCTCATAATATTACCAGAGGCGTGGCTATGGGAGGGCAGGCGGGGTGGCCGCCAAACATCGTTGATAATAATATAAAACTCTCGTTACTAAATTATATAAGCCTACAGTCAAAATAAAGAATATTGACTGCTTCTTGGCATTACGGACTTTTTTTGTTTCCTGTATCAATTGTGGGAGACAAAAATAAAAAAGGCAAAATAACTTTTAAAAAGAGATCCGGCCTGTCCAAATGTGGGTTGGTGGCGCATTTTCAACAACGCGAATAACTATTTTAGGCCTAATTTGCAGAGGGGGCGCCAAATTGATTGTTCGTCCTGGGCACCGAAAAGTTACTAATTATTAGGAACGTTTTAATAATAGCGATTACACATTTTTGCGCCACTTATGCTTAGCCCCCAAGCGGCCGCCTATTTCGACTTATAGATAGCACCGTCCTGGGTAACCGACCCCTTAATCGAAATAGTAATCGATTTTATTAACTCTCCGTACCTCCGTACCTCTAGTGGATTGCGCTCATTAAAGCGATAGTCGCCTGGTAATTCTACAGTTTACCATATTTACCAATGAAAACTCAGCAGAGTAAAAGCAGCCACCCGCGAAAGTAAGTAACATATCACGTATTAAAGAAAGTGAAAATCTCTGCGAAGTAGTATTCAAAAGTTCTTCTTCAATGGCATACTTCATGCATAATCCTGAAAACAAATACAATATAATAATTATTTTGTATATTAAACATAAAAATAATAAAGTCGAAACATTTTAATACATTTTTACAATAAAATTATTATGTCATTATTATTTCATTGTTAATAACCACATCGTTTAAATATGTTCTCAAAAGTTATCTCTGAATATGTGTATTCGTAAGCTTTAAATTCATTAATAATTGTGTGTGTTTATAAGAAAAGTCATAATATTGTTTTCTTTTTACTAAGAACGCAAACATTACACTAAATCGTCACATCGCCTTAAAACTCCTGTACCGACATCTAAATCTAGCCGAAAACTTAACAGTCAAATAGGGCCTATAATATGACAATCTTTCTTGACAAAACAAATAAGAGGCAAGTTTAAGATCTAAGCACAAGAACTGTGATTCTTATGCAGTGGCGGAACTAGAAAAAATGAGCCACCCCGCAAAAAAAAAGTTTTTGGGCCCCCCCCCCCCCGTGTGTTTCTATGTATATATATATATATATATATATATATATATATATATATATATATATATATATATATATATATATATATATATATATATATACATAGAAACACACGATACGAACATAGGATACTCATTTCTGGCCTGATCGGGTTATGAAAAAAAATATTCATT